TGAATAAGATGGTGTGTATAAAGCCTTTAGCCCAGTACTCGCCACAGGCAAATGCTTGCTAAATGGTTGATCTAAGGCAAAAACAAAGAAAGCATTTGTGACAGAATAGACTTTGATGACTAATTAGATGTGAGAGAAGAATAAAAAGGAAGAATGGGGAAGATAACACTGTTTACCAACCTGCCTTCCACATCCCTGTTCTGTGTCTAACAAGAGTATGAAAGCCAACAGAAGGACGACCTGCTTAAAACAGGTTAGAGAGTAATGGCAAAGTACCGAATGAGCCTGTTGACTGAGAGCATGGCATTTTACTGACGCAACAAAGTCTAAACTTGTTCGCCCGGCACACAAGACATTTTGTAACCCTGTCCGGACCTTCCTTTCTAGCCCAGATACTTGCCACTCCCTGAAAAGCAGCTGCCATGGAGTCAGAGCAAGCTGCTTGGTGTCCCATGAACGAACCATGTTATTCTGATATTCACTGCCTTTGCCCACTGTATTCTCCCTGCTTGGAATGTCTTTCTCAACCTCCCTCAACTTCAACTCCTTATTTAAGACTTGGGTTACATAGTTTCTCCTCCATGAAGCCCTTACTAACTCTTTCCAAGCAGAGTTACTTGCTCCTACCTCTGGGCTCCCACGGAATTTCGTTCATGCCTCCCTGATAGCAAGGACCACATTTTATTCCAATGTTCTCTTCATGTCTCTGTCATTGCCCCGTGTGGTCCCAGACCCCAGGGATGACAGATTGGTCATCCCTGCATCCTCATTCCCTGATGTTATGTGGCCCATAGACAGTACTTCACAGGCTTGCTGTCGGACACCCAGAACATTTCTTTATATACTTGCTTAGAGATAAAAGGGTTTGCTTGTGAGAGAATGAACCAGATTCAACAATCCACACGCAAAAATTAGTCCTGTTCGTTATTTGTTCACGCATTATGAAATAATCAGGGTCCTTTAACTTCCTAGCTCCTGAAGAGCAAAGTTCTGTTTTAATTCACTTTGTACCAACATGGTTTTGCACCAAGAAGTGCAGTAAAGGAATTTAAGGGGCTGCTTGGATGTAACCAAAGAGATGTTGTAAATAAGCTGCAGAAGCCATGGTTGGAGACCCTGGGCTGCAAGAAGCCAAGCCAGAAGCCTTGGTTAGGTTTTTCTATAGACTCTCTACAGCTCTGATCCCCATGATTCAACCAAATCACCTTTCTCAAATAGGCTCCGCTAATGAAAATAAAGATTCCCCTTTGCATTTCCTCAAGTTAGGCGTAAGTACCAGGTTCCAGAGGAACATAGCCTTGACGCCAAAATTTAGTTTTATCTTCCATTGTCCTAAGAAACTATTCCTCTTCATTTTATTAAAAAAATTTTAGAGATTTCACTTTTAAATTATTTTTGAGTAGATAACACATTACTGTGATCCAAAATTCAAAAATATACAGTATAGGGGACTTCCCTGGTGGCACAGTGGATAATACTCCACGCTCCCAATGCAGGGGCCCAGGTTCGATCACTGGTCAGGGAACTAGATCCCGCATGCATGCTGCAACTAACAGGTCACATGCCACAACTAAGGAGCCCATGTGCTGCAACTAAGGAGCCTGCCTACCACAACTAAGACCCAGTGCAACCAAATAAATAAATAAATAAAAACTGCACAGTGTAAAGTGTTCCCCCCTACAATGTAACCCAGCTATCAAGCTTCCCTTACCATAAGCAACCAAAGCTATCTCTTTCTCATGCATTCTTCCAGAGATATTTTATGCATGTAAGGAAATATTTTTAATTTCCTACTGCCTTTTACACAAAAGTTAAAGTAGTACACACAGTTCTGCATCTTGCTTCTTTTCACTAAATAAGATATCGTGTTGATCTTTTCATATCAGTATCTATCCTTTTTCCTGGCTGCATAGTATTCCATCGCACGAGTGAGCTATAATCTATTAGGCCAGTCTCCCATGAATGGACCTTCTGTTTTTTCCCTAATCCTTTCTATTTTATAAACAATTCAGCAGCTCTTTTAAACCTCTCTTCAAACTTCCTACCAGCCTCTGCCTCCCTTAGTCTCCAAAAATGCTGTCTTTCTTCACTCACAGAGAAAACAGAGGCCATTACATAGAGATTCCATCAATTTCCTGTCTCCCATCCACTTTGTGCTTCAAACTCCATCAATACCAAACAGCAGATAGTTCTGAGAATGTGCATGTTCTCTCTTGTTTCTTCTGTACCTTTGTATATGCCATTCCTACTACCGCGGTCATTGGGTTTGCCTGGGAAACCTCTATTAACCTTTCAAATCCAAGTTTGGATATCATGCCAGAGGGAGTTAATCAGTTGCAGCTGTGTAGTATGTCTGTAGCTCGTTCCTCTCCCTCCATCGTACTTATTATTATGCTGGTTTGAAATTTGTTTACAAGTCTCTGTTCCATAGGTCTGTGAGCACCTTGAGAGCTAATTCATATCAGGATGCCTAGCACTTAGCATAATCTGGTAATAGAAGCTACTCAATAAATATTTGTGGAATAAATGAATAAATAACATGGGGGAGACATAAGCACACTCTGTAATGACAAGTATTTGCAAAAGAGCAGAATGAGTCTTCAGTCTGCACAGTGTAGCAGAAACAGCATTGGACCAGAAACCAAGAGAACCAATTCTGGTCCATGGAAGCAGGAAACTCTTTCCACATGTTCATTGCTGTATCCTCAGTGCCTAGAAGAATGGCTGACTTGATTGGTGCTGAGAAAGAACGAGGCTTTGTGGTACATTTGTCTTTGAATCTGCCAAAGACACGCTTTATTTCAAATAGTTTGCAGGGAGAAAGCTAGAACCAGAGAGTGTGTAGTTTTTGGACTAAAAACCGAACATACCTAACACCCCGTTGTAGGTAAACTATCATAAGGCCAGAGAATTTATTATCAGCTTAAGTTGAGCAAATTCAATCAATTGACTTTTATTACAAACATATCTTATAGATTAAATTAACACATTTCACATAGCCACAGGTTCTTCCAAGCTTAGAGGTAACATGCTTAATTTGGGAAATGAAATAAAAAGCCTTATAGATGATCTTGGCTCCTCCTCTGTGACACTAAAAAATAGCAATAGTGTGACAGTCAGAGACAGAACCCCTAAGAATTTAAACTGAAATAAGACCTTTACCCCACCTGGCCTGTCTTCTAACAGGACTCTTTGTTCATCGCTCTCCCGCGGTCACCAGCATGCAGATATTCTTCTGCCCTCTCTTCCTTTTCTTACCAAACAGGAGTAGCATGCACATTAATGTCAATTCTCCACCAGTTCGTGAAAATAAGATTCTTTAGGGAATTCCCTGGTGGTCCAGTGGTTAGGACTCCACGCTTTCACTGTCGATCCCCGGTCGAGGAATTAAGAACCTGCCAGCCACGGGGTGTGGCCAAAAAAAAATTGAATTAAAAAAAAGAAAAGAAGATTCTTTTATCCTAATGCTTCTGATGAAACATCATGGTGACCCATAGATTGTTTTTAGACCAAGACTGAATCAAAGTTTTATAATTTTAATTTCCACAATGTTCAATAAGTATGTGTTGATTGACTGAATGAACATTTGGCCATTAATTAGCTCTGTAACCTTGGGCAAATTTCACTGAACTTTTCTGAGCCTCATTATCCTCATCTATACAATCGAGTTTGATTGATGTATTTTTCAAATTATTTTTAATAGCTTAAACCCTTTCTTCAAACAAAATCCTAGGCAGAACACAATATACAGGACAGAAAAAAAAGTGGAGGTACTCTAGATAAAATAGGTTTGGGGGCCCTAAGACTCCTTGCTTCACCTCCTCCTTCCCTACCGTCACTTCAGCTCTGAGCCCCAGGGCTCTGTGAGGCACCATCTAAAAATCCTCAGGAGGGGCTTCCCTGGTGGCGCAGTGGTTGAGAGTCCGCCTGCCGATGCAGGGGACACGGGTTCGTGCCCCGGTCCGGGAAGATCCCACATGCCGCGGAGTGGCTGGGCCCGTGAGCCATGGCTGCTGAGCCTGCGCGTCCGGAGCGTGTGCTCCGCAGCGGGAGAGGCCACAACAGTGAGAGGCCCACGTACCGCAAAAAAAAAAAAAATCCTCTGGACTAGGGAATTCCCTGGCAGTACAGTGGTTAGGACTCCATGCTTTCACTGCCAAGGGCCGGGTTCAATCCCTGGTCGGGGAACAAAGATCCCACAAGCCGCCCGGTGCCGCGAAAATATAAACAAATAAATAATAAAACTTTTAAAAATAAAAATAAAAATCCTCTGGACTAGATGATTATATACATGACATTGACTCCCAGACTGGTAAAGAAACTTACAGTCATGTAGGTCCTGAGATTCCCAGCCTTAGGAATTAAACAAGATAGAGCTACACGGGCAAATGAACATATGAATTTCTTTGCTTTGGGTCAACCAACAGCAGCTGGTTATTTAATGCTAAACAGAATTCAGAATTATATATAGTGTTGATAAATGAACAATGAGCATGCTGACAGTGAGCAATGAACGTGGTAACAAATTATAACAAATACCTTTCGGTAGATAAATTTCTCAACATATTATAAAAATGAGTGGGGGTAATAAAAGGAATCCCTGGGGAGTGAAAAGGTTGAGACTCATGATGAATTCCATTTTCTTCCTTTTCATACGTATAAAATGAGGCAGAGAAAGCTAAAATGGCCTGCCTAAGCTCCCACGGCTTACTTGGTGGCAGAACACAGCGCTTGCCATTTCCAGCCCACTGTTCTTTTCCGACCGTGTTGGATTTCTGTGTAAGGTTAGACTTCCACCTTTATGTGCCTGGGATCTGTGGTCACACAGCTACAGAATGATAGAAAGTCCTCATTATCTCAGCATTCATTCTCTGAATCCCTGAAGTTTGAAGTCATGAAGGAGAGTAAAAGTCATCATAACTTAGAAACGTTTACTTATCAAACGACTGCTTATATATACCCATCCCCATTAAACATTGACATCTATTCTCCCCTTCTAGGGTCCATTTCTTTGTCAAGTCTCGAGTTGATGACTGGATTTTTACACATATTTGACAATACAGTCCAAACACGACGGAAATCAACTACAAAGTGAAATTGCGCGTCTCACGAAAGATAATTTTATGAGATTGATGAACGAAGGCCAATGAGCTTAGTGCACAGTGAAAGAGGGGAAAAGACATTGACATTGAAGAGGTAGGCGAAGGCCTTGTTTAGGATTAAGATTAGGGATGGCCTTGTGGGTCTTAGTGCTTTTTGTTTTTATTCTGATTGGGATGGGGAAGTGGGGGAGGCCTTTAAGCGGGGCAGGTGACAATCAGATTTATCTCTAAAATTTTCATTTTGAAACTGGCAAATACACTAAAATATATGATTTTGCAACTGTATTTCTGTGATTTTGTCCCATAGATGCAGCTCCACATGTATGAAATGACACCTGTATGAAGTTTTTCATTGTTGCATTATTTGTTCAGCAAAAGGTACCTGGTTAAATAAACGATGGTATGATAAGCAGCGGGAGAAACAAATAAGGAAGATCTCTATGTACTAATATGAAAAGAGCTTTAGGATGTATTGGTGAGTGAAAAAAAGCAAGATATAGAACACTGTAGAATAGTCTCTATAGTAGGCTACCTTTTATGTAATAAGGTGAGAGATATATTTGCATATGCTTGCATTTGCCTTAAAAATCCTAGAAGGATAGGGCTTCCCTGGTGGCGCAGTGGTTGAGAATCTGCCTGCCGATGCAGGGGACTCGGGTTCGTGCCCTGGTCCGGGAAGATCCCACATGCCGAGGAGTGGCTGGGCCCGTGAGCCATGGCCGCCGAGCCTGCGCATCCGGAGCCTGTGCTCCGCAACGGGAGAGGCCACAACAGTGAGAGGCCCGCGTACTGCAAAAAAAAAAAAATCCTAGAAGGATTAAAAAAAAAGATACCAATGGAAATAAATATCATTAGAGAGTTGGGGTGAGGGATGCAGGAGTAGGTTATAGAGTTCTCTGAGCCTATCTTTTTATAGTGTGTTGAACTTCGAACCATGTAAATGTTGTACCTAATAAAAAAAAATACATTTAAAAATCACTCTGGCTGCTCTGTGGAGAGAAGTTGTAGGGACAAAGAGTAGAAGCTGGGAGACCATTAGGAAGGTGGTGAAGTTGGTTGGGCAGGTGTAGATGGTGGCTGGCTCTGGAAGGAAGCAGTGGAGGTGGTGAGAAGGAGTCAGGTTGGGGGTGCAGAGCCAGGTGGACTTGCTGATGGATTGGATGTCACATGTGAGAGAAGAAAAAAAAAAGAAATCAAGGGTAATTCCTAATATTTGTCTTGGGCAGCTGGAGGAGAGAAAATGGAGTAGAGGTGGGGAAGGGGCAGGGAAAATTGAGAACCAAGGGTCTGTTTTGGACTCGTGAAGACTGATATGTCTCTTGGATGTCCAAGTGGAAATGTCCACAACTAGAGAGAAACATCCAAAAGAATGAAGACAGCAGAGATGTTTCCAAAGATGAGTTCAACTCCCCGTGAGTTTTAACTGAAGGATTGAGAGACTGTGGGAAAATTAATAAAACCCTCAAGCATTTTGTTAAATATCCATCTTCATTTTCATGCTGCACAAATAAAATACAAAGGAAAAATGTCACTTGTGCCATTATAAGACTTTGTTGGAAAAAATTATGTCCAAAAATTCCAGTCAGTCATTGGACTTGTTCTTAGCTCTAAGAGTAAGCCTGTAGTTATCATTATAGCCTGTATTTTGGTAAATATAAAGTAAATACACTTTCACAATTTTTATTTCACTTTTCAAGATAAAACTCAAATCAAAGCTTTTTCACTATTGGGAATTCCCTGGAGGTCCAGTGGTTAGGACTTGGCACTTTCAGTGCTGGGGCCCAGGTTCAATTCCTGGTCAGGGAACTAAGATCTCCAAAGCTGAGCAGTATGGCCAATAAAAGAGAAAAGAAAAACAAACAAAAGAATTTTCACTGTTTATTATGAAATGTAAGCAGCCTACCCTAAGTGGCCTTTTAAAAATTATTTTTAATTAATTAATTAACTTATTTATTTATTTATTTGGTTGTACCAGGTCTTAGTTGTGGCAGGCAGGCTCCTTAGTTGCATCTTGCCAGCTCCTTAGTTGTGGCACTCGGGCTCCTTAGTTGTGGCATTCAAACTCTTAGTTTCGGCATGAATGTGGGATCTAGTTCCCTGATCAAGGATCTAACCCAGGCCCCCTGCATTTGGAGTGTGGCATCTTATCACTGTGCCACCAGGGAAGTCCCTAAGGGGCCTTTTTAGTCTTCCAAATAAGATAGAAAAGTGACAGTGACAGAAACAGAGGGAAACAAATATAATTCAAATTTTTCTCTTGGATACTAAGTTCACTTCTTTATTAACAGAACAACTTACTACATGACCTGGATTGATAACAGGGCAAGAGGTGGAGAGTAACAATTATTCCTACTTTACCATTCTGGAAGTCAAATAAATACTTTTCGATTAAAATGCATAACTGCTTTCTTAAGAACTCTACCTTCAACTATTAATTTGCCTCTCATGTTTTACCTGAGCAGGACAGAGTTGAGAAATGTTCTACTGTTAATATAAGTCAGGGTATTACTGTCTATAGTGTTCGCTGCAATGCCCAGTATCTTAAAATTTTCGGGCTGCCAAAACTAATTACCACTGTGGCTTAAACGACAAACATTTATCTCTCAGGTTTCTGGAGGCTGGAAGTCTGAGATCAGGGTGTCACCATGGCCAGGTACAGGTGAGAGCTCTCTTCCTGGTTACGTTCTCACATGGCCTTTCCTTGGTTCATTCACGCAGAGAGAGATCTCATGTGTCTCCTCCTCTTCTTATAAAGGCATTAATCCCATGATGGGGGCTTCACCCTCATGACCTAATCTAACCCTAACTACCTCCCAGATGTCCCACCTCCAAGTGCCATCATGCTGGGAATTATGGTTTTGACATCCGAATTTGGAAAAGGGGGGACACAAACATTCAGTCCATAGCACCCAGCCTAGATCCCCCTTCAGGTTGGACACCCCCAGGTGCCGGAAGTGTTGGCTCCTGATGGCTTTCAGCTGAGTCCTCTCAAGGACTTGCCTGAAGGAAGCAGCCTTTCTTAAGGTTAGGCCCCTTTCCAAAGGGGTGAGTGATAGGTACAAGTGGAAGAGAGTACAAAGATCCAGCCGTCTTGCCTCAATATGAGACAACTCGGATGAGTCATCCCACCTCCTGAACTTCCCATGAGGTCACCTGAGCCCAACCTTCTGCCCCTGTCCTGTTCCCCTGGCTCCCTTATAAGTGTTGTTCCCAATAGATTTCCCACCCACAAATCTCTGTCTCAGAGTCTATTTCCTGGTGCCCAACCTAAGACACCAGGAGACCTCATTAACCGCATATCCAAATAATAAATAACCAAATCATGCAAATTTCTCTACATTTTGTGTAGGTTAAGGCACAGCATATAAAAGGTAAATGTAGTAGAAAATGCCCAGAGTAGCGAGTGCGCTATTGGACCATCCCAGGGCTCGCTTTGTGCACTTTGCACATGTCATACACACATTTGTGGGAGGAAAAAACTCTCCCTTATGTCTGTTTGGTCCCATATCTTTTTGTCTGTCACACAGAGTAGTCTTTTTGCTTATTATAACTGACCTCTGAATGCGTTAGATAAGAGAACCAAGTTTTGCTCCCATTCTGCTAGAATTTATTTTTGTTTTTTAAGGATGCATAACAACAGGCAGTCCAATTTCAGTCTGAATATTCTTGGAAGAAATGAAGAGTAAATCACGAAATGAAACAGCCAGCTCGGCAGCTCTCCTTAAGAATCCCCCAGCAGGGGTTATGTGGCTGCATCTAAAAAAACACAGGCCTTTGTTGCTGAGATGATTTATCACACACATAACAATTCCCAGATCATAGATTATTTTTGCTGATTTGTTTCCGTCATTGTAATTTATTTAGCCTTCACCTTTCAAGATCCTTTATGACCATTAGTACGATTTTTAAAATAGCATCGTGCAGGTGGAATTTCACAAAGAACGTTCAGGCGCTTCTCTCCCTTTCAGGTCAGTGTTTAGTGAAGTCCAGAGGATTTTTTTTTTTCATGGAACCCATGTAGCCTAACTTATATTCAGAGATATAGTCACAAAGAGACTCTGTCTTCAGGACTCTTATTTTTTAATAGTTATTTCTCCATTTATTTCCTTTTTGATTTTTGAATTTTGTCATTCTTTGATAATCATCATTTTATTACATAATTATAGAGAAGATGGAAATGGGATAAATGAAAAAGTGTCCATAATCTTGTCACCAGAACAAACCAGAATCAACATTGGTGGTTTATTTTCTTTCAGACTTTTGCGAAAATAGTGTATATAGTAGCGTTTACAATTTTTATAAAATATACTCATGCTATGTTATAATTTAACTTACCAATATGTAATAGATATTGTCCATGTCAATAAATACACCATTAAAATATTGAACAGATGCACTATTTTATAATATGGGCATATCATAACTTCTTTAATCAATATCCTGCTATGAAACATTTATATTATTCCCTTTTTTATTACTTTTATAAACAATGTGTAAGTGGACATCCTTGCAAATAAATCTTTGTACAGATAACTTGTTACTTCCCTAGGACAAATTCTTAGAAGTAGGATTTCTGCATCAAACAGTAGTTACATATTTAAGATTTTTTAAAAATGCTTATTGCTAAAAATGCTTATTGCTAAATTGTTTCAATTTATATTCCCACCAATAGTGGCTGAGAATGCTCTTTCCCACACTCTTGTCACCCTGAGTATATAATTCTTTTTAATCTTTGCTGATCTAATGATGAAAAATAGGATCTTGTTTTTAGTTGCATTTGTTTGATTTCTAGTGAGACTGAATTTTAAAAACAATGTTTATTGACCATGTACATTGCTTCCTCTGTGAAATGTCTGTTCATGTCCTCTGAACATAAGATATTGACTTCGAATATTTATATTATTGAGTTTTAACAGCCCTGTCTATATATTTATCGTACATCTGTGTGTATTCTACATTTAGAACTACATATACTCTAGCAAGTTTCCATCCGGTTTGTCTTAACTTTAAATTTAATTTTCTGGGCATAAAGATTTTTTTTAAATGTCCTACAGAATGTAGGACATTCTGTACCCAAGATTATATAAATAAACTAAGAGAAACTGTATTTTCTCCTAGTAATTAATGGATTCATTAGAAACTTTTTTTTTTTTCTTTGGTGCGGTACGCGGGCCTCTCACCGTTGTGGCCTCTCCCGTTGCGGAGCACAGGCTCCGGACGCGCAGGCTCAGCGGTCATGGCTCACGGGCCCAGCATGTGGGATCTTCCCGGACCCGGGCACGAACCCGCATCCCCTGCATCGGCAGACGGATTCTCAACCACTGCGCCACCAGCGAAATCCTAGGAACTTTTGTTACATTTAAATCTTTAACCTACTAAACTTTTGATTATATCTGTGAGGCAGGAGTCTAACTTTATTTTTTTTCCTATTGTTTAGGCAGTTATCCCAAACTTATAAAATAATCCATCTTTTCTCTTTTCAACTGAAATGCTGTCATTGATACACGCTAAATTTGTAAATAACTTTAAATCTGCTTCTGGACTTTTCATTCTGATTGGTTGTTCTGTCTGTGAGTCCTATGCCTATACTATACGTTTAATCAGTATTGTTTTATAATGCGTTTTGGTATCTGATATGACCCTTATCTCCTCTGTGTGTTTTTTAGACTATATTATCTTTAATGTTACCTCTTCTTCTCTTTTTCAAAATGTCCATTATTCTTATATATGTATTCTTCCATATATACAGATCTTCCTCGACTTACGATGGGGTTACATCCCAATAAACCCAACATAAATTGAAAATACTGTTAAGTCAAAAGTGCGTTTAACGCACCTACCCACTGAACATCGTGGCTTAGCCTAGCCTAACTTACACTTGCATTAGCCTACAGTTGGGCAAAATCATCTAATACAAAGCCTATTTTATAATAAAGTGTGGAATATAGCATTAATTTCTTGACTATTGTCCTGAAAGTAAAAAACAGAATGGTTGTCTGGGTATAGAATGGTTGTAAGTGTATTGTGATCACGAGGCTGACTGGGAGCTGCAGCTCGCTGCCCAGCATCATGAAAAAGGATCGCTAGCCTGGGAAGAGAGTAAAGTTCAAAATTCTAAGCATGGTTTCTACTGAATGCTTATTGCTTTTGCACTTTCATAAAGTCGAAAAATTGTAAGTCGAACCATCCTATGTTGGGGACGATCTATACTTAATAGAGAAGTTTTCGATTCACAGCAAAACTAAGAGGAAGGTACAGAGGGATCCCATAAATCCCCTGCCTCCGCACATTATCAGCATCCCCACAAGAGTGGTACTTTTGTTACAATGGATGAACTTACATTGACTTATTTCTTCCATATGTATTTTTATACTATACTATATTATATATTCTTTCATATATTTTAAAATATTTATTTATTTATTTGGCTGCCCTGGGTCTTAGTTGTGGCACACGGGATCTTTTTTAGATGCAGCATGCAGACCCTTAGTTGCGGCATGTGCGATCTAGTTCCCCGAGCAGGGATTGAACCCGGGCCCCCTGCATTGGGAGCGTGGAGTCCTAGCCATCCTAGCCACTGGACCACCAGGGAAGTCCCTCTTTCATATATTTTTATACTACTTTTGACACATCCTCCTCAAAAGAAATCCTTTGGAGTACTATTAAATTTATATGTGAATTTAGGAAGAATTTACTTTTCACAATATTTCAAAATATCCGGAAACACACCCTAAACATTTATTTAGGTCTTTGATTATGACCCTAGATCAGGATTTGTAGATTCCTTACATAGGCCTAAGATATTTCATGTCAAGTTCATTCTTTTCTTTTTTTAAATAAAGTTATTTATTTTATTTATTTATTTTTGGCTGTGTTGGGTCTTCGTTGCTGTGCGCAGGCTTTCTCTAGTTGCGGAGAGCGAGGGCTACTCTTTGTTGCGGTGCGCCGGCTTCTCATTGCGGTGGCTTCTCCTGTTGCAGATCACGGGCTCTAGGCGTGTGAGCTCAGTAGTTGTGGCTCACGGACTCTAGAGCGCAGGCTCAATAGTTGTGGCGCACGGACTTAGTTGCTCCGCGGCATGTGAGATCTTCCCGGACCAGGGCTCGAACCCGTGTCCCTTGCATTGGGAGGCAGATTCTTAACCACTGTGCCACCAGGGAAGCCCATTAAGTTCATTCTTAATGCTCTTATTGTTCAATGGGATACTTTTTCATTATACTTTCTAACTCTTACCAAGCCTATTGACAGTTTTATAGACATATTATTCACATACGATAAAATTCGTTCTTTTAAAGTGTACATTTCCGTGGTTTTTAGTACGTTCACAACGTGGTGCAACTATCAATACCACCTACTTTAGAACATCTTTATTGCCCTCAGAAGAAACCCAAATCCATTAGCAATCGCTCCTGTTTTCTCTTCCCCCCAGCTGTCTCTTCATTAGCTCTTTCGAATCTGTAATCTTCCTAATAAAACTTTAAGTATAGCTTTCCTGAGTTCTGTGAGGCATTCCAGTGAATTATTGGACTTAAGGGGGTTATGGAAAGCCCTGAATTTATAGCCAGTTGGTCAGAAGTATGGGTGGCCTGGGACCTCCAAAGTGGATCTGACATCTGAAGTAAGGACAGTCCTGCGGGAGTCGTGCCCTTTACCTTGTGGAGTCTGCACTAACCCTGGATGGCCAAGATTGAATCTCAGAATATCCACTTGGGGTTGAAACGCAACAAGCTTCTTTTTGTGTGCTTTTTGACCAAATGTAGACATTTGTCTCCCTTCTCCTTGGGCTATTTGTTGCAAGACCCCCAATGGATGCCTGAAACCTTGGATAGTACCAAACCCTATATATACTATGTTTTTCCTGTACATACGTAGTTATGATAAAGTTTCATTTACAAATCAGGCACTGTAAGAGATTAACAACAATAATAACAAAATAGAACAATTATAACAATATACTGTAATGAAAGTTTTGTGAATGTGGTCTCTCTCTCAAATTTAATGCCTTTTTTTGTATTAACTAAGCATTTATCATGCACTGCGACCTCAGCTTTTGCAGTTTGAGGTGCAACAGCAAAGCTAGCACAGATTTCTTTTTCCTTTTTCACAATTTTAGGGATAGGAGATTTGTTCTTACCCTAGATCTTAGCAACCTCAGCATACAATTCTTTTTCTTTCCTTATTAAGCCAAGAACTTTCACCTTTTCACTTAAAGGAAGCACTCTACAGCTTCTCTTTGGCATTTCCTAATTGTCAGCATCACTACTCTTGCACTTTGGGGCCATTATTAAGTAAAGTAAGAGTCGCTTGAACACAAGCACTTCGATAAACTACAGTCAGTCTGATAACTGAGAAGGCTACTAAGTCTAAGTGACTAATGGGCAGGATACATTGGGCTCAAGGATGATCCCAGGTGGGATGAAGCAGGACAGAGCAAGATTTCATCACACTATTCTGAATGGCACATAATTTAAAACTTATGAATTGTTTATTTCTAGAATTTTCCATTTAATATTTTTGACCACGGTTTACTACAACCATAGAAAGTGAAATCATGGGCAAAGGGGGACTACATATCTTTTTTGGAGAAAAATCTATTCAAGTCTTTTGTCCATTTTTAATTGGGTTATTTTTTTTTTACTGTTGAGTTTTAAGAGTTTATTAAATAATATATTCCAAATATCAGATGAATCAGATACATGATTTGCAAATATTTTGTTCCATTCTGTGTGTTTTCTTTTCACTTTCTCGATGGTGTCCTTCAAAGTTTTTAATTTTGATGAATTCTCATCTATTTTTTATTTTGGCATATCTTAGAAACCATTGCCTAACTCAAGGTCACAAAAATTTACTACTACATTTTCTTCTAAGAGTTCTGTAGTTTTAGGTCATATTTTTAGAGCTATGATCCATTTTCAGTTAATTTTGGTGTATTGTGTGAGGTAGCGGTCCAGTTTTATTGCTTTGCACGTGGATATCTAGTTGTTCCTAGTCTATTGATTTTAAACATCTCGTAACTTTCCACCTAACATTATTTCTAGTAGATTTAATAGATTTCTCTTTTTTTTTCAAGTAATAATACCATGTTCAAATGATAACTTTGCTTTTTCCTTGACAGTATTTGTACTTATTATTTTGTCTTCTCAGATATTTTTTTTAAACATGATGATCACATCATCTTCATGTTTTTCTTCATTTTAAAGGGAATGTTTCTGCAGAAACAGACTCACAGACATAGAGAACAGACTTATGGTTGCCAAGCAAGAGGAGGATGGGGGAGGGATGGATTGGGAGTTTGGGATTAGTAGATGCAAACTATTATATATAGGATGGATAAACAACAAGGTCCTACTGTATAGCACAGGGAACTATATTCAATATCTTGTGATAAACCATAATGGAAAAGAATATGAAAAAAGTATGTATATATATGTATAACTGAACCACTTTTCTGTACAGCAGAAATTAACACAACATTGTAAATCATGTATACTTTAATAAATTTTTTTTTAAAAGGGAATGTTTCTAGAGTTTTGCCACCACTGAGTATGGCACTTTAGAGTAATAAATGCTTTCCAGTATCTGCTACTGCATCTATATTTTGCTGCTACTGATATAAGATGAGGAGATATGATTTTGCTGTAAAACCTCTTTAAATTATGTTTTAAGAATATATTGTTATAATTTCTACTAGATGTAGTCTCCTTTAACAATTTTTTTTTTTGCTATAAGTTTTGGCTAAAACAATTTTGTATTTTTTTGTCTTGAAGGTAACATTTATTGAGACTTGACTGTGTACCAGGCACTGTGCTATGGGTTTACACACAAGACTTGTTTAACCTTCACAACTACCCTGTGAAGTAGAGACCATCATATCTTCTGTTTGCAGATGGGAAAAAAATGACGCCCAGAGAGCTTACCCAGTGTGTTCAAGGACACTCAGCTGGAATGTAACATAACTGAGATTTCTACCTGGCTATCTGCTGTCTGACCATGGGGTCTTCATTCTTTTTCTCCTTAATTGAGGTATAGTTGACATATAACATTTTATTAGTTTCAGGTGTACAGCATAATGATTTGCTATATGTATATATTGTACTGATCACCACTGTAATTCTAGTTAACATCCATCACCACACATAGTTATGAAATTCTTTCCTTGTGACAAGAATTTTGAAGATCTGTTCTCTTAGGAACTTTCAAATATGCAATACAGTCACCATGCTATTAACTAACAGCCACCATGCTATCTATTACCTCTCCAGGACTTATTTATTTTATAATGGAAGTTTGTACCTTTTGACCACCTTCACCCATTTTGCCCACCCCCCAGTACCCACTTCTGGCAGCAACAAATCTGTCCTGTATCTATTAGTTCTTTTTTTTTTTTTTTTTTAGATTCCACATATAAGTGAGATCATACAATATTTGTCTAACAACCATTTTGGGGAAATATTTTCCTAAAACAATATTTATCAAGAGCAGTTTATTATTCTAATTAGAAAAAATAAGTTCATCATAACGGATATGATGTTTTCAACTACATAAGGAGAGAATTAATTTCTTTTAATCTGAAATAGTTTTACTGTAAAAGTAAATCAATTAATGAACTAGAATAGATAATTCACAAATACTGTATAGATTTCAAAAGGTAGAAAATAATATACAGAGTGGAATAAAACCTCCTTTTCACCCCTGTTTCCTAGCTACCACTTTCTTCTCCCTGCAAGCAACTATTATATTCTATAAAAGAGCAGGATTTTTTTTAAATAAAAGCAATACATACCTATATAATACATACACATATACATGTACACACATATAAAATATATGCAAAATATATCAAATGTTCACACAAGAAAAACAATGTGCTGAGCAGTCCTAGGGAATGAGATGGAACGCAAAGACTTGATGAAGAGTCTGTTCACAAAAAAGAGAGAGAAGTAGCTGAGAAAACTCTTTGGTGTTTTTCCAATATTGTCAGTTACCAGTTTACTTAAACTCCAAATCCGTTTTCTTACAGCAAAGGATACATCTAGTTACAGCAAAGGATAAATCTAGAATCCATGCCACATTAACTGCATTAAATGTAAATGTCCACCACCTCAGCTTTCCCTACCTCGGATGGCAAATAAGATAGGAACCATGCATTCCCAAGAGGCAACAGAGATCCAGAGCACAAAATGACAAATCAAATTTCCAAAATGTACTAAAAACCTCTTCACTTACATGGAAGAAGCCTAAATAAATCAAAATCATGGCACAAAAATAACTTAGCCTCGAATAATTTTGTATTAGGTTGTAAACAACTCTGAATAGTCATTTGGAACCATGGTGTGTAAAGAGGGAGAGCTGTCTATTAGGTGCAGGCAGCACCTTTAGTCTAGCCTGCATGCTGTAGTCCAGCCTCTGGATTGATAAAGCTTGAGGCAGTGGAGGGAGATGGGGAGGGCAGCAGTGGGGGCTGGGAGGCAGAAGGGGAGGGGGAGGTGCTGATTCAAGCAAACCAAACTCACAGAAGACTGATTTATAAACAGAAATACCATCTGTTCATTAACCATATAGACCACAAGAAGACCAAGTGGACCATTGTTACTTCACAGCATCATTCTCCAGTCAGAGTTTCCCGAGGTCTTCCCTGTCTCTCCATCTCTTAGCATGGGCATTTCTGTGGGCGGCTGGGAGGTAATAGTAATATACTGTGGCCGTCACCTGCACAGGTTCTGAGTCCCATGGCCTTAGTTTCAATCCAGGCCTGGCCCTTTGCCAGCCGTATAACCTCAAGTGGTTATTTAACTTCTCTCTTCCTGTGAAAATGGGAATGATAACAGTACCTACTTCAGCAAGTCATTGTAAAGATTAAATGAACTAATTCATGTTGAACATTTAGCACTGTGCCTAGTACATGTGGAACACTCCAAAAATGTTAGCCATTAGTATTAAGCCTACTCCTATCTACTTCTGTTGATCTGTAGTTGTTTCTGCTCACAGAGAACAAACTATTTTTAACTCTTTGCCCAAATTAAGGAAGGGGAAAGAGGAAGTTAAATGAGAGACGAGGTTGACTCGATGGTGAAAAGTCTGAGATGAATTCAGTGTTTCAAAGAAATGCAATTGTATTGCTTTCAAATTTGAATTACAACCCTAAATAACATGGAGAATAAGGAAATAAATAAGGTAAAATTTTTTTGCCTTTCTTTTATTTATTTATTTTAATCGAAGTATAACTGATTTATGATGTTGTGTTAGTTTCAGGTATATGGCAAAGTGTTTCAGTTATACATACATATGTATCTATTTTTTTTTCAGATTCTTTTCCCTTATAGGTTATTGAAGTAAAGTTTTAAAAGGTGAAATAAGTAAAAAAGAGGGAACTTAATGTAACAATGCAGTGTGTAGTAAACGAGTATTTCTGGAGTGTCCAGTATGTACCCAGCTAGTCTTCCTCTTTTTAGCCTTCCCTTTCTTAAATCGATTTGCAACACAGTAGCCAAAGTAATCTTTTAAGGACTTAAGTCAGACCATGTCACTTTCTGTTCAAAATCTTCCAAAGGCTCCCCACCTCATTCAAAGTAAAAGGCAACATCTTCACAATGCCCTCCAAGGCCTTATATAATCTGTTCACCCCAACCCTACTTAAGTAGGGTTGAGTAGGGTTAACCCTACTCAAGGGGTTAACTTATGACTTAACCCCTTCACACCCTCTGGCCTACTCACTCTGCACAGGCCACATGGGACCCTTTGCTGTCCCTTAACTATGCCAGGTACTCCTGCCTCGGGGCCTTTGCACTGGTAGTTCCTTCTGCATGGAGTCCTCTTCTTCAAAGTCACGTTTCCTTTACGACATTACAAAAACAACCACCTTTCCCGACCCTCCTACTTAAAACTGTAACTTCTTCCCCATCCCCACCACTCTCTAATCGCCTTCCCTGCTCTGTTTTCTTTATAGTGTTTCTCTATATATTTATTGATGTATTTTGTTTATAATCTATCTCACTTGACTTCCCTTTGATATAAATTCCACAGGACAGGGATTTTTGTATGTTTTGTTTATCGCTACATCATTAATCCTTAGCTTAGTGATAGCACTATTGGCTGAATGGATAAATGGTCATCTCATATGTCATCTCATTTATACCTTTTGGTGAAGGTCTGGTTTTCATAATAATATATCACTAAAAGATAGCCATTCTTATAATTATTTTCATATTCAACAATTGCTGTTTCCTGAAATTAAAAATGGACTGAAGGTATCTTTAAGCTCTTGAAGCTGGAATTTGAAAAACACTGTTTATTTTAAAGTGTGGATGTCCTTTAAAAGCATCTTATGTAAGATTGAAATTCAGAGGAAGAAGCTATTTTTAACTTCTTACTCAATATGAATGACACGTATCACTTCTGAATTAAAAGAAATTATGAATTTTCACATAAATTTAAGTTGGCCTTTTCTAATTTTAGTATCAATTCTCCAACCCTTAAATATGATTTTTAGATTTGTCCGAATGATGCCTGACAGCAGAAGTGTGGGCCTGGATGTCCCTGCTTCTGCTTTGCGGGAGATAAGGCCTGCCTACTGAATTTCTGGTTTCCATTACAGCTGATGACATGAAAGAAATGCTTGTAAGAACAAATATTTGATTCCAGGCTGTAGCCTAATTTAATAGTGTACTTGAAAAAGAAAAGTTGATGATTCATTCCAAAACCCCTAGGGAGGGAGGGGTGATTGTAAACAAATTGGAAAGGGGCAAGAAAACCTAATATGAAACCATTGCAGCAATCTTCAACAACAACCAAAACAGTCTTGTCTAAACTTGATCAAATGCTGTTTTTTTTCCAGAATGATTTTAACTGAGGAAAGGATGTTTGATTCAAAACCCTTTTCCCTCTGCTCTGATATGGGGAGGGGGAGGTGGTAACCGTATTAACTTTTGATAATTTCAGATAATATGAAGTATTTGGATGTAAGATTACCCTGAGGTTTTCATAATTGTGGTTTTTCTCAAACCGTTACATGCGATTGTAATGTTTTTATGGGCCAGAACCCTAGGCAAATTTTTATGGAAGAAGGAAGAAACGTTTTTTAAAAATAGAAACCAAGACTGAAGACACATCAGACATCTAAGTAGGTGGAGTAGACAGCTGCCATGGGCGAGACCCCAAAACCCCTCCCACCGCTTGCTTGTTGATGCCTGAAACTTTGAAAACCAGGAATTGATTTTCTTGGATCAAGACTTCATCTATTAAAATACTCACATCCCTACTCAGGATCACACGATAAACTCTCTGGGCCTTATTTACACTGATGATACTGTCCTCACTGATTCCAGATCCAACAGGCTTTTCCAACTGGGTGGAGAGAAAACAAAGGGATCCTGGCTCTTTGGAGATGAGGCTGAATATGTGATGGCGGGGAGGGGGCAGCGCCTCCCTTGGAGGAAAACGTGGAAGATCACCAAGAGGTGAAGAAGCACAGAAAAGGGATTTAGAGACTTTTCCCTCTGTGGGAACCATTTTTAGCCATCCTTCCTTCCCTGAATACCAGAGGAAGGGAAGGTCGATATGGGGACATGGTGTGAAGAAATCAGCGACACTTGAGTCTCCAGAAACCTCACAACGACCAGGATTATCACAGCAGTTAATCCTTCAGTATGAGCCCAGACGACTTGCTTACCTTAAATGATAATTATAAAAGGTACTCTATAAAATACTTCTGACGTAGGGGAATTCACCTCTCCCACAGTTTGTTGTTGTTGTTTTCATTATTTTATTTATTTATTTTTTGGTAGGGCCACACAGCATGTGGGATCTTAGTTCCTCAACCAGGGTTGGCACCCGTGCCCCCTCCAGTGGAAGCGCAGAGTCTTAACCACTGGACCTCCAGGGAAGTCCCTCTCCCACTGTTTTTTAAAGGAGTAAAATAGATGCTACTGTGTGAAAATGACCCCAGGCTTGCGGTCACCTGTCTGGCTTTTCCAATTAGTGTTACTGGCTACATGGTCACCACTGAGATAACAGTGATCTTCTATTTTCATTTCTCACCATTTAACTTAGTTATTTCTTTTCATGTAACTTTCAGAACAATTTAGTACCTAGGAAGGGTCAAAGGAGATTTTATAAAGTTTGGCTTATTATGTCATTTTCATTTTTATTAACATTTTATTGAAGTAGAGTTCATCTACAATGTTATATTAGTTTCAGGTGTATGGCATAGTGATTCTGTATTTTTGCAGATTATACCCCATTATAAATTATTACAAGATAATGTCCATAATTCCCTGTGCTATACAATATATCCTTGTTGCTTATCTGTTTTATACACAGTAGTTTTTATCTGTTAATCCCATACTCCAAATTTGTCCCTCTCTCCTTCTCCTCCCCTTTGGTAACCACAAGTTTGTTTTCTATGTCTGTGAGTCTGTTTCTGTTTTGCTATTATGCCATTTTGAAGTCATAATTTGTACTGCAATACACGTCTTTGCTTCTTAAAGCTATGGCACGACTGTTCAGAAAGAGTCCTCTCATCGTGGAAAGATTACCAGGTTTCTTCATCATCATTAGTTTCTTTTTTTTTCTTTTCTTTTTTTGCGGTACGCGGGCCTCTCACTGTTGTGGCCTCCCCCGTCGCGGAGCACAGGCTCCGGACGCGCAGGCTCAGCAGCCATGGCTCACGGGCCCAGCCGCTCCGCGGCATGTGGGATCTTCCCGGACCAGGGCACGAACCTGTGTCCCCTGCATCGGCAGGCGGACTCTCAACCACTGTGCCACCAGGGAAGCCCCATCATTAGTTTCTTACCACACATTGCACACATGTTACATAGCAGATCCTGGGCTGGGTGCTGAGGCCACAGAGCTGCAATCCACCTTCCTGACCTCTGTTTACTTAGACTAGTCAGCAGAGGAGACAGACAAATCACCATCTGCTAAGAACACAACAGAAGTTTGCACAGGGGCTGGGGAAGTTTCCTCGCCCATCCTGGAATGTCAGGAAAGTTTTCTGTGGGGATGTAATGTCTGACCTGAGAGTTTTAAGGATATGAATAATGGTAGGAATTAAGCAGGTGAAGAAGTGGTGGAAGAGTGTTCCAGGAAGAGGGAACAGCATAGCAAAGAAAGAATGGAGAGAAAATTCTACCTTCCTATGTGTCTTTGCCTCTCTAGGGCGAGGCCAAATTCTTACTCATCACTGCATCTCTGGTGTCTGTCTGGCATGTCATAAGTATTCATGAATATTTGTTGAACTTAAATGAACTGAACTGCAAGGTCTTTATTGCTGGCAATAGGATTGTGGCCAAAATAGAAGTTCCTGTTCTCGTGGTGCATATGTTCTAGACAGGCATTACTATGAGTTAACATTTACTAAGCATTTCCTACCTGCCAAGTACTGTCCAAAAGCTTTATGTATTCACTCATGCAATCTTCACAAAA